CCATGTATTCTATACATCTGTTAATAAAGATGAGGATATTGTATGCTTTGTAAACTGCTCTCTCCACTCGTCCTGCATATATAGATACTCATTTTCCTCTCCTCCTGCATCCCCTTTAGAATTGTACCACCCATTTTATATTCTCTGTTCACATTGGTAGGAACAACGTGCATCACCTCACACTTCTCTGTATTGAACTTCACCTGTCACTGACCCGGCTACTAATTTGCATCGTTTTGGATGTTCTATACTATCCTCCCCACAATCTACAATGCTTCCAAGTTTTATATCATATGTATACTTTGAAATTGTCCCCTGCACACCAAGATCTAGGTCATTAATATATAGCAGGGAAAGCAAGGATCCCAATATCGATTCATGGGGACTTCATTGCAAACCTTCCTCTAGCTCAAACAATCCATTATTTTCTTTGTCCTATCACTCAGCCAATTTTGTATCCATTTTGCTACTGTGCCTTTTATTCCATGAACTATAAATTTGTCTCTTTCCATTTATCAATTCAAGTTTGAACGTTACCTAGGTTTTGGTATATGGTGGCTTGGGCTGCTTCATCATCTCAGAATTATATACAAATAAAGCTCAACGCTATATAATCAAAGATTTCTGATCTTACGATGGAAGAGAAGTCCATGAAGCAGAAACTATGGAAATGCTTACCAGATGCAAACAAAAATAAATTATAATATCAACGTAACATAAAAAAGTATTTAAGGCAACAAGTCAAAAGTTGAGGCACCATCTAGACACCCAGCCAGTCCACACTAGCTATCTAATAATCCTTCCAGATACCCAGCATTTTCACATTAATGCTGTAGCAGTCCTGCTGAATAATGAGCTAACTCCACCAACCACTTCTCTAAGTAAGGGTCAGTAGAACAGTCAAGTAGATCCAAAAATATGCCATTGATTAACCAACAAGACAGTTATTTAAGAATGAATTGAACAGATATTTTGCATCTGTCTTCATTGTAGAGGGTATAAATAATGTCCAGAAATAACTGTGAATCAGAATGTGAAAGGGAGCAAGGAACTTAAAGCAATTACAAATTACCAGGGAAAAGGAATTGAGAAATTTATTACAACTTAAATCTGACAAATTCCCTGGCCCTGATTGGTTTCTTCGGAGGGTGTTAAAAGAAGTAACTGCTGGGCTAGTAAATGCAATTGTTTTGATTTTCCAAAATTCCAGAGATCCTGGAAAGATCTGATCACATTGGAAAATACCACATATAACTCCTCGATTCAAGATGAAAGGGAAACAAAATGCTGGGTAGCCTGGCATTTGTCATAGAGAAGATGCTGGTATCTATTATTAGGGATGTTACTGCAGGGCAATCAGGCAGAGTTGACATGGTTTTCTGAAAGATAAATTATGCTTGACTAATTTATATCAATTATTTGAAGAAGTATCAAACAACGTAGATAATGGTGAACCTATGGATATACTGTGCTTAGATTTCCAGTGGGCATTTGACAAGATACCGCATCCAGATTTACTCTGCAAAATAAAGAGCTTATCACGCAGGCATTAACCCATCAGCATTGAAAGTGGATTTATTGGCAGATTGGAAGGAGAGAATGGGCATTTATTCATTTTCAAATTGGCAGAATGTGACAAGTAGTATGCCACAGGGATCAGTGTTGGGGCATCTACTCTTTACAATTTCTATTAATTTTTTAGATGAAGCGTCTGAATGTACGGTTGCTAAATTTGCTAATGATATATAGATCAGCAAGTTGTGAAGAGGACAAAGAGTTTGCAAAGGGATATAGATAGGTTAACTGAGTGGCCAAAATTTGGCAGATAAAGTATTACGTGGGAAAATATGATCTTTTCCACTTTTTCAGGAAGAAAGGAAAAGCAACAAATGGTTTAAATGGAGAGAGATTGCAGAACTGTGCTCCAAAAGGATCTGGGTGCCCTGGTACATGAATTGCAAAATATTAATAAACAGGTTCAGCAAGTAATCAGGAAGATAAATGGAATGCAGCCATTTAGTGCGATGGGAATGAAATCTGAAAGTATAGTTACAGTTGCAGAATGTTTCTGATGCCCCCATCTGGGGTAATACACACAGTTTTGATCTCATTCAAGAAAGGATATAAATGCATTACAAGATCCCTCAACTAATCCTTGGATAGGAGGTGTTTATCTTACAAGAAAGACTGGACAGGCTGGGCCTGTATCCATTGGAGTTTAAAACAAATGACCGGTGACCTTATTAGAGACATACAATATCTTGAGAGGTCCTGGCAAGGCAGGTGCTGGAAGGATATGGAAGAGACAAAAAGTAGGGGACACAGCTAGCAAAAATCTTTCCAATTCGAAACTGAGATAAAGAGGAATATTTTTTCTCATAAAGAGTCAGGAGGCATTGGAACTCTCTTCACAAAAGAACTTTCAAATCAGAAGTAGATAGATTCTTGACCAATAAAGGGAGTCAGCAGTTAGCAGAGAGGCAAGGTGAACTGTATGGAGTTGAGGCCACAATCAGATCAGCTATGATCGTATTAAACCAAAAGCAGGCTACAGGGACCAAATGGCCTCTCCTTCCCCTAATTCATTTTTTTTTCAGTTCAACGTGGCATTTCACTTGGAGTTGGTGCACTGCATCACTGCCTTTGTGCCTTCCAACATGGCACACTTGGCTAGTTCCCCGGGTAGCAGCAGGTGCACGGAGGCTTGAATCTCCCAGGACGTGATGGTGATGTGCTTGCTGTAACAGGTCAGGCGGGAAGCCTCCTGTGATGTGCTCAAAAATACTGTTGCTGAACAAATTCATGATGCTCATTGCCTTGGAGGCATTGCCTGTGTCAGTGCAAACCTGCTTCATCACTTTGTAGATGTAGATGCAGAAGGAATAACTTTCTTTCCTGGACTTTCTCCTTTTTTTGCCACTCTTCACTGGGGCCCTCTTCACTGTTTTATTAGTACCCTTCTTGGCAACTTGTCCTTTCTTTCATCAACCATGGTGATAGCCAATTCATATGTTTGTAATGCTAATCAAATTAGGTGCTGTACATTCCATTACAATCACTCAGAGTTTACTTGGTCATTGGTATCCAAGAGTATGTTTGTGGGTGTATGAAACACAGGAGAATGCATGTCAATGCATAACATTGAGATCTATCCTGCACACCTCCTCTCATGACAGCAGAACTCAAGCAATTAGAAACAAAGGCTCACATCTCTATATATTTATAAATTCACAGAATGAATGAACTGCACACCTACAGAAACCAATTTTAAAAACTGGTAAGAAATTAGAAGTTACACAATTATCATACAATTCAATCCTTTCAACCAATCTATAGTCTTGTGGCCAAAAAGTAACATTCACAACAATTCAGCACATAACAAGAGATAAAGAAAATTTTCAGAGGTATTGTCAGGCCAAAGCTATGAGTACAGTTGAGCGGGGGGGGAAGGGCTTTTATAGATTGCTTTTGATACCATAAAGAGATAGGAAAGCAAAGTAGTTCGGAAAATAAAGTCAGGACAGTCTTTAATGGAGGACCAGATGCCAAGCAAGAAGCCTATATCAGAAGGTATGTGGAGAGATGAAATGAAGAAAACAAAAGCAAAGCAATTCTTCAGGGGATAGAGCTTTAACCATCCTGCTTTTCTTTTTAAAAATTGTCAGATTTGCACAGCACACCAAAAAAGATGCAGATTTTTCTATGTAAATATGCATAACCCCACTGTGTTACATATCAAGTGAAACAATGGCTACTCGCAGTTATTGCAATTTAGTATACTATATTCATTGCTCATCATGTGGTCTCCTCTGCATCAGGAAAAATAAAGAGTGGATGATTGCTTGCAGAACACCTACATTCAGTTTGCAATTATATTCAAGAACTTCTGGTTACTTGTAATTTTACTTTTCTAATCCATTTGCACTCTGGTATATATATCCTCATACAAAGTTCCAAGGAAGCTTGAAGTTATCTCAAGGGATAGCTCATCATCGTCAATCAAGTGCATTATACTCTTCTGAGCTCAACATTGAACTCAACATTGAATTCAACAATTCAAATCACAATCTTGGGCTCATTTTTGTGTTTTTTTTATTGGAAACTGTTAGTAAAGGTTCTGCATTTTTTCATTTACATCACAATCTTTTTAGAAGTTATTCTATCTGTAACTCACCTTGCGCATTGCACTATTCTCTTTTGTCATTTCATCGCGACTGTTTTCCATCCTATCACAGACCTTCTGTTTTGTTCTTTTCCTCCCTTCCCTGCTTGGCCTGACTTAGTACTTGCGTTAAATATCCCTAACCTTTACTAGTTCTGATGAAAGTTCATCAACAGAAACATGAATTAATTTCCTTCTCCACAGAGAATTCAGACTTTGAGTACTTCCAGCATTTGCTGTTTTATTACACAATAACACTGATTATTACAGCAAGTTATGAATATACCCAATGTCCAAGTCTACTCTCAATTCTTAGACATCCAAAGCAAAGAGCCCAGTACAACTCAAATAAGAGCAAAGCACTACAGGTCCTGGAATCTGAAACAAACAGAATGCTGAAAGCAGGTCCAGCAGCAGTGGTGAGGGAAACATAGTTAATGTTTTAAATCCAGTATGCAGAAGAGTCACACCAGACTCAAAACGTTAATGCTCTTTCTCTCCACAGATGCTGCCAGATTTGCTAAGTTTCTCCAGCAGTCTCGTGTTTGTTGGCCTTGTACTGCTGATCACCTCATACTGGACAACAACAACATTAACCACTAATGTATTTATTTGAGAAGGATCAATTGCTTCAGCCAGCAGAACTCACACAGGGATAACGTGGTATTGAATGAGAAGTCGAATCCCTGACATTCAGCTGACCAGCGTTCATTTGTCATGAATCCACGCAAGTGGAGTGCAAGAAGCTAGTATTAGCAGCATCAATTAATGAAAACACGATGTGAAGTCAGTAAAATCAATAATGTGAGCTTCTTGCACTGAGCAATCAATTGTATACCTACTGTCTCTTTGGCTTTGACTCTTTTCCCCGATCCACAAAACTTCACAAAGCCACTGCGCACGTCATCTGCGCAGCCTGAAGAGGGAGAGGGGGGTGTGGAAGGAAGACGGAGTGTAACTACAATATCTTCCCCGACGATCCGGTCCCCCGCTCCACAGATTACATACACACCGAACGACTGACACACCGTTGCCGTCAAACCGCTGTACGAGTTCCAAACCGCCGTGAAGGTTGACAGCGAACAACCGCTGAGCATTTCAGCCGCGAGCGTTCGGGTCCATCAGCCGATGGAGCTGGCACCCCCTCGTCCACTGGCTCCTAGTGCACCTGCGCGTCAACAGCCACCGATTAGGGCTACTGCGCCTGCGCGCTACCACCTCCTTCCCCCCCCCCACTACCACGACGGCGCCTGCGTGCTACTTCGCCCACCCCTTACCACCAAACAACTGCGCCTGCGCGGCAATCTTCTCCATTCATTCCCCACCCCTGACGACCAGTCTTCCTTCCACCATCACCCTCTTCCTATACCAAAATAGGAGGAACTTCTTCTTCCGCACAACCAGTCCTCTTCTTGCAAAACCAAAATACTGTGGATGCTGGTAATCTGCATCAAATACAGAAAATGCTGGAGAATCTCAGCGGTTCTGTCAGTGCCTATGTAGAGCGAGACTAGAGTGAACATTTTGAGTCCAATATCTTTCGTGTTCAGAATTCAGTCTTAATTCTGGCCTCTTGCGCATCTCCTTCGTTTTACCTTACATTTCGGCAACTCCATGTATTCAACCACACGTTCCTCTGCTGAAACATTCTCACTCCTCTATTAAAAACCAAGCTCTGACTATTAAAACAAAAGCAAAAAGCTGACATATCCTACCATTAACACGCACTCTCGACCTATCTCTCTTACAACGATTTCCATATAAAAACTGAAAGAATAGCGGTTGCTGTAAATCAGAAAGAGATGGAGAGATCACTCGACCGTAAATGTTAACTTTAATTTCTCTCTACAGATACTGCCAGACCTGCTGAGTCTTTCCAGCAACGATTACCATATCAAGTTTTATAAGAAAGAAAGTTTCATCAGTACTTTTTTTTTCTCTCCGCAGATGCTACAGATCTGCTGAATTTTTACTGCACTTTCTGTTTTTATTTCTGAACGAACCTTTGTTCCATCCCTTTCACCCCTACGAAACCTCCATGAAATCCTTGTTTGGCTCTGCCTCCTCTCTTTTATTTCCTTGTGCAGAGACTTATGACTTTTTCTGCATTAAAGTTCTAAATGAATGCAAGTTGTACCTTCTACTTTGGTCTGGTACTAACACCAAGGCGGGCGCACAACCTCCGTTTTGAACAGATCCAAGGGTTACAGAACAATAGAAAAGAAAAGTGACGTTTTATTGATCAGGGAGAGACAGTGAATTATAAGTATGCATTTTTTTTGCATTGAAGGAATGGAGATGGCAGTAAGCTGAGGTGGAACAATTCCTATACCAATTTAGAAATGATTATTCCCGGGGAGCATGATATTTTCACACAAATTTAAATTGCTTCAATCATCTCTCTTGTTTTTTTTTTAAATGAAATCTGTGTTAATTAACGTCAATATTTTCCATAATGACCGTTATGTTCTATTTCCACTGGAACAGGAGTCGGAACTATGTAGCGAGATCCAAGCTCTCCGGCGCATTAATACCAGATCTCGATTGGCGTTACACCAGCCGTGGTGTGCGGGGGACCTTGATCAGTGCTGCACAGAGGCTCCCGTTGCTATGGAGACGGCTGAGGCCAGTCCCTGCTGCCTGCTATTTTGCAGGGGAATATACTTAACGAAGGTCCATTTGAAAGAAGATACACTAAAATGAAAATGCGATACTTTGATTTGATAGGACGGATGGTCTAGGCATTCTTTGATGGAAGAGCACCTGTCACTGCAAATAAAGTTTGGAGAGATCTCTCCATGCACAGAACTCTTCTTATTGAGCGCCTGGATTGCCTTACCACAGGGACCAACTGAGTCAGTACGCTTTGCATCTTTCGGGGAGAGTGGGATCGCTTGCGTTTATGTCGCGCCCTTTTAGTCCTCCGGATGTCGAAAAGTGTTTTACAGCCATTTAGAAATTAGTCCAAATTTTGTGATCATCAGTTAAGCGATTGTGTTCAATGCTGATCTCAAGAAAAATCTAACACCACCCGCCCCCGCCAACACACCGAACGATATAGAGATCTTTGTGATAACACAGTTCTGAAGAAATGAACCTGAAGAAGGGTCCCGACCCGAAACGTCAGCTTTCCTGCTCCTCTGATGCTGCCTGGCCTGCTGTGTTCCTCCAGCTCCACACTGTGTTGTCTCTGACTCCAGCATCGGCAGTTCGTACTATCTCTAGAGATCTTTGTGTGTTGTTTTTGATGAGAGTTTAAGTCTGCTGCCTCGTCTAGCGGATAATCTCTTGGTTTGCAGCAGCAGTGATGTCTGCAGGCAGAAAGCGGCCAATCAAATACTCTCACACCACCATCCATAAAGTTAAAAGTACTGAATGTTTTCAATTTTAATTTGCAGCGAGTATAGTTATTTTCCTATTCAACCTGTTCAGAGATGTTATTTATACACCTCCAGAGCAGGTGGGACTTGAAACTGAGTTTCCTCGGTCTGTGGTAGGGAAAATATCCTGGCACCACATCAGCCCTAATGAAATAGATTATTACAATTGAATTGGTGTCAGTTGGTAACATTCTTGCAGCTTGAGTTAGAAAGTTGTGGACTCAAGTTGTACATCAGGGCTTCAACATAAAAATTTAGACTGGTACTCCACTGCAGGGCTGAAGCAATCCTGCACTGTTAGAGGTGCCTTCTTTCGGCTGAGAAATTAAACCAAGGCTTCATCTGCCTTCTTGAGTGAAATATCTCACGGCACTCTTTTGAAGAGGAAAGTTATCTTCAGTGTACTGGGCAAAATTTATTCCCCAGTCAATATCACAAAAATAGATTATCTGGTCTTAATTAATATTTGTGGTAAAATGCTGTTTTGGCCATCATGTTTCTTACCTTACAGAACTAGCTACCCATGAAAGGTACCTCATGGACTGAAATGTGCACCAGGGCATCTTGAGGAGCAAAAAAGTGCTACTTCAATACAAGTCAGTGTTCCTTTGAGAGAAAATCTAAAAGAAAGTTTAAAAATTATCAAAATAAAGCATTTATCATAGTGAAATGTCAAATTTCTCCATTAATATAAAATTAGTTTTTCAGGACCAACATTTAGCACTGATAAAATCAGTTTTGCCTGATTCAACAATGTATAACTTTTTCAAAGAGTTTTACAGCAAAAGTAAGAATGGAAGTTCTTGCCAATTTGTACGATTTCCCATTGCTTGCAGTCTGTGCTGTCTTAAAAGTGCATCTTCTGAAATAAAATCAGTGACAGTGGCTTCTGAATTTCTGTGTTATTCTGTTTATTTTTGGACTCAAAAGTTGCTGTCAGTTTTAAAGGACTAATGACAGTGTATACAGAGTTTTGCTGTCATTACTACAATGATATTCAAGCTAATGTTGTCATGAGGGAAACCCAGAAGCCAATTTCTGCAAACACAGGCCCACAAACAGCATTGTGATAATTTTTTTTAGTTCAGTAGATGAAGTGAACCATAACATTAGAGGGAATGCTCCCTACTTGTCTTTACAATAATGCCACAGGAGATTTTTACATCCACTCGAGACGCAAGACAGAAGGAAGAGGTTTAAGTTTCATCTAAAAGATGGCTCCTTTGACAGCACAACAATCCTCATTACAGAACTGGAGTGTTAGCCCAGAATTTGTGCTCACAATTTTGGCATGGAACTTGACCCTGTGATTTTCTGACTACGAGGGAGTGCAACCACTGAGCCACTGCTGATACCTGGATATGGATCAGAAGCTGGCACAGTTAGGAGTGATTAGTTTTGTTGAATAATTTAAATGTTGAAGGATTGTTCTTTGATTAACAAAGAATACATTTTAATGTATTTTTAAACTTTTGTTATTTTGTTAGGTAAAAAATCATTAAAAATGGACCCAGATAGTGAAAAAGAAGTAACAGAGCCTGACAATGAAGACGCAGAAAGCAGTGAAGATCTTGAACTTGAAAACAGGAACAACTTTCTTACCAGTGTGCTAACAGGAGATACTGAGAAACTACGCAAGTGTTTTGAAATTGTAGATGATCCAAACCTCGAGATAGCAAATGGATGGCTAAATATACGTGATGACTTCGGCAGAAATGCGCTCTTTGCAGCCTCTATGTTGGGACATCATGAAGTTATTCCTGAGTTGGTGACACGAGGAGCAAGTGTCAATGAGAAAACCAATAGAGGTACTTCCTTCCACTGGCTTCTCCATATTTGTAGTTGCTGGAAGAATTTTTATTTGCAGTAATAAATTTTTATCTTTGGTTGAATTGCAGTCTAATTATGTTACCAAATTTATACAATAATAATTAAGATACATACAGGTATTGTATTAAATGGGAGTTCTCATCTAGTGAGAATGTAGAGGAATAAACCATTCAGAATATATATGGACCAGTTCATTTAAACTGGGATCTGTCAATTTTTTTTTGTCTATCCTGCCTAAAGGGTAAATGTATAATAAAGACAGAGTAGACGCAACCATCATATTCTGTTGAACTGCGTCACCAGTAATTGCCTAGATAACTGGCTGTCTTACAACCTTATGTTTGAAGTTTTGTTCCCTGTTTGCAGGTTACACTCCCTTACATTGTGCTGCTGCCTGGGGGAAAGTAGACAGCCTAAAAACTTTGGTGGCCTTCGGTGCCAATGTTCGAGAAACTAACTTTAGAGGTGAAAAAGCACGAGAAATAGCTAATCGATATTCAAAGACTGACTGCATGGAGTTTTTAGATTGGGCAGGTGAGAAATTACAAGATTGTTTCATCACCTTATAGTAATCCTCAGTTATTTATAGTTTTGTGCAGTGCATGGTGTTATGGACCAGGCCGACCTCCCCCCCACCACCTCAAAATACTTAATGAAGGTAGCCTATACCCTAACTTTTCCTTATTTTAAAGGCAGATGTGAAGTGCATGTTCCAGGTGTGATGAAACTGGTCAAACCTCTTGGCCTTAAGCAAAACAAAATTTATTTAAACACTACAGTTGAAACATGAACAAAAGAAAGTGGAATTTAGAGTAACTTAACCATTGGAAAACCTAACTGACCCGATACAGCAACTTAACTAATTAACTGTTCCAGTATAGTAACATCTCATAAACACGCCCCTGGGCAAAAGGTAAGTTCAAACACATTCTTACAGGCAGGAAGGAACAACATCCAGAGAGATTTCAAAGAAAGTCAGGAACGCTTTACTGAAGCTTGCAACACTTCTGGTACTCAAAACATCTTGTGACTGCTACAACTGAAAAAAACTAGAAAAAACCTGAACTGGCCACTCTCCTTCCATTGTTAAACAGTTACTTCCTAGACTCTTTGGTGCCTCTGCCTTTACAACCTCTCTTCAAAACAAAACCAAGGACAAAATAACCTTTTTAAAGTGACAGCATTGTCACAATGGAGTGACATTGGATGGATCCCACTGGATAATATGCAGCATGATATGAGTAGGAAGGTGATGGCCTAGTGGTATTATTGCTGGACTGTTAATCCAGAGACCCAGATAATGTTCTGGGACCTGGGTTCAAATCCCACCATGGCAGATGATGGAATTTGAATTCAATAAAGTATCTGGAATTAAGGATCTAATGATGACCATGAATCCATTGCTGATTGTTGGGGAAAAAACCTATCTGGGTTCACTAATGCTCTTTAGGGAAGGAAATCTGCCATCCTTACCTGGTCTGGCCTACATGTGACTCCAGATCCAATGTGGTTGACTGTTAACTGCCCTCTGGGCAATAAATGCTGCCTGGTCAGCGACACCCTCATCCCGTGAATGAATAAAGAAAAAAAAACTTCAAGTAAATCTTTTCTATATTTCCAACAGGCAAGTAATGCCTAGTGGTATTATCACTACACTATTAACCCAGAGACCTTGGTAATGTTCTAGTGACGTAGGTTCAAATCCCACCATGACAGACGGTAGAACTTGAATTGAATAACAATCTTGAATTAAAAGTCAAACAGTGAACATGAAACCACTCCCAACTGGTGAAAATCCCATCTGGATTACAAATGCCCTTTAGGGAAGGAAACTGCATCTTTTCCTGGTCTGGCCTACATGTGATTCCAAATCCACAGTAATATGGGTGATACTTAACTGCTTTCTGAAATGGCTTTGCAAGCCACTCATTTGTAGCAATTGTTGGAAAGTCTCAAAAATGAAACAATGATCGATGCAGGCACTAGAAACAACAATGGCAAACATAGCCGTGTCAACCCTGCATGTCCTCCTTACTCACATTTTGGGGCTAGTGCCAAAAATGGGAGAGCTACATCATAGACTAGTCAAGCATAAGCCTGACAGAGTCTAACTCACGGAATCATACCTTACAGACAATGACCTGGACACCATTATCACTGGATTGGCAGGACAGATTCAGCAGAGTTGATATACTGTCAGGAGTGAGTTGCTTTTGGAGTCCTCAAAACTGACTCTGGACACTGTGAAGTCTCATGGCACCAAGTCAAACATTGGCAAGGAAACCACATACTGTACTCCCTTTGTTGATGAATCAGTGCTCTTCTATGTTGAATGACATAGTGAACAAAGTATTGCAAGAAGAATCATGCAGTTTTGTTTTTCAATTTTTAACTGCAGAGGCCAAACTGATTTTGGAGTTGTATATTACTAATATTCAGGAAACTGTTGCCGATCTTGAAAAGTCACAGGGCAAGCTGTCAAAGCAAGATAAGGTAAGCTCCATCATTCTTGGGTTCAGAGTGGAGGACTGCCCTCTGTCTGTTTCTTTGTTGTGGAGTTAATATCTGTTGGGTTCTTGGTGTTCAAAGATTTTTGTCATCTTGTAGACTGCTTTTACAAATGCTTGCCGTACAAAATTGGAATGGCTGAGTTCAGTACAGAATGCGACAGCACAGGATTTCGAAGACCAAAAGAAGAATTTGATGACGACTCTGGAACCAATCATTGCCAAACTTACATCATGTGAGTACAAACACAAACCCACCATGAACTCCTTGAAGTTTGTAGATTTTAACCATCCGTGTAGCTGATGCACTGTTTTTACACTAGTCACAAGCTTTTACCAAAGGTAATGAGGTAAAAATAGGAATGAATAAAATGTAATAGCGGTGACTTTGCGAGGTTTTCATATTTTAAAACTTTAACAGTTCTTCAGAAGTGCAAAATCAGGTTAACAATATAAATCATTCTGTGCCATTTGATGCAGATGCAGCACACTGCAACCTCAAAGCATTGCCACCAGCCTTCTCATTATTCAAAGGGGAAAACTGCAGTTCATGTTCCTTTGTCACACACTTGCATTCATTAATATCAGCCACCCCTCCCACTATTTACTTTAAGATTAAGTAGAAAAAATGCGTAGAAAAATAATCCAGAAATTAAAGCTGGAGCTGCTTTTAAATTTCATTCCAAATATTCACTAGGTCACAAAAGAGGTTTAGATAATTTAAACCACATGGCCCATTCAGTCTTAATTTTTCTTTGAATACCCACTTTACTATTTATTATATTGGCTTTTTCTTTGATGAATTCCAGGTCATAGACTGTAGCTCACTTTCTGCCATCCTGTTCCACTACTTGTATAAAGAAAGATTTTTTATTGTGTTTGCGTAAACAGCATCAGGAGAGGTCCTAACATTTTTGGGTCCCCTAATGCTGAGTTACATTACAGTGGTGGGATTCATCATAATTTTGTTTTACTTTTTCAGTCAACTACCACTGTTTTTATTTGCTTTTAAACCAATTTCAGGCTCACGCCCTTAAATTAGAAAGTAATCTTTGATGTTGTAATTTATCAAAAACATTTGGAATCGTAAGTATGTCTTGTTTCTGCAGCCAATTGGTAATGTCACCTTTCAAACAATTTTGCAGTTGATCAGGCAAATGTTACTCCTGTTGAAATGTCTGGTCATTTATTAGATTATTTTCAATTTATATGTTCCCATTTTGTTGTCAAATATCTTTAAGTATTAAATGTATTTAAAAGATATTTTCTCGGAACGTCTCTCGGGATCCAGAGCATTGATTCATTTCTGTAAAAAAGAATAAAGATTGAAGATTGTAGAAATGATTTGCATCTATATGGTGCCTTTTGTGCTCACGAGATATCACAAAGCATTTTTGACTGTATCATTGTGTCATAGGCAAACACAAACAGCAGCGAGATAAATGACAGTTAACCTGTTTTTGACATTATTGCTTGAGAATGAAATGTTTTACAGCACATGGAATAAATATAAGATGGAGGAAATCAAATACTTGAGAATACAATGGGATTCTGTCAGCACTGAAAATACATGGGCGTGGCAGTAGACCTGGCCGCAAAATCAATTCACAGGGATGACCAATTACAGGAAAAACACCCTTTGTAAATAGCAGTGAAAGCAAGTCATGAGGATCTGCTTGTCCAACCGTAGGCTGGATCTCCTATGCTTGATGCTGATAGGCTCATAGTGAGCCTATTAGCAATAACGCAGGAAAGGACAAGCTTGTGATCAGAGGATTGAGATTACTGGCAACAGTCAGCAAAGCCAGAAAAAGTGGGGTTTGGAACATGGTGCATTCTCCATGTCAACACTTCTACCAATCAAGCGGTGCAGGGTCAGGTCTAATACAGTATAATGTTTTCCCCTCACATCTTGTGAACTGTCCTGATGAGTGCAAGATAAGACGCTTTGACAAAACGTATCATTTTTCAGAAATATGTAGTTCTGTACCACCAAACGAAGTTATTAAGTGATTGTAATGAAGGAGTTAGTTAAACTGAAAAGGTAGCCCCAAAAAATCAGAAATAGTCGTCGAGAAATTGCATGAGATGTCATGGAAAAAATTACATACAGTTTGAACCTAGGGTTTTGTGCTGTTTAGGACCAATGAAAACATCAGAAACAAATATCCTGGAGTATTGTCCGATTACCTCTGTTTTGATAGATGGTGAGGTTTGGGAAGAAGTTCAGGGAAAAGATACATAAAATTTTATTTCAGAAAAATTACATAAATTGGTTATTGTGTAATAATTTGTGTACAATGTGTGGTAGGCTTGATTTTGTTCTTATTCCACACTTTACGTCCTGAACTACACTTGTTTCCGCTTAGCAAAAGAGAATGATGCCAGACTAATTTTTTGTAGTTATTTCAGACAAGGCAACTAATCAGGATAATTTATTTTAGAAAGCTACTTCACTCTATTTTAGTTGCTCGACTGAAGAAACTGAAAATAGTTCCTGAGAAATAGATTAGCAAACTGGAAAACTGTTGGAGGAAGATCCTCAGGTGTTTTCATATATAGCTTACCCGAGAACAAATGCCCTTGTAAAGGACAATAGATCAGATATTCAAAGCTAGAATACAGGCTAGAGAAATGTCAGTTTTTACAAATATACCTTGACATATTTGTGCTACAAACTGTGTCAAAGCCAAAGCAGGAATATGATGACAGTAAGGCCTGCAGGTGCTGGAAGCTAGAGTCAATAAATGTGGAGCTGGAAAAGCACAGCAGGTCAGACAGCATCCGAGAAGCAGGGAAGTCAACGTTTCAGGCAAACATTCCTTTCATGTAATGATTATTGACCCTCCTTAATATTTTTTATCAATTTATAAATCACTGCATAGTAAATATTATATTTACTGAAATATAGATGGATTTCTGTTAGTACTGGCTAGTTAATATACTTTGAAATACTTTGTCATTTAAGTTTTCTGGAGCATATACATTTTTAATGTTTTTAATACATGTGATCCCTACAGCAGTCAGTCATAAAATCCAAATTTTAAGAAGGTCTAAAGTTATTAAAAAGACATGTGGGAACGTATTTACCTTGTACTTTTTAATGGTTAAAGAATGCTGTGGTGCAAGTTAGTTCTTTATAATGTACAAGCAGATGGAATGCTGATTGTTTATATTTCTTTTCTAAAGCTCCACAGCCCTCAAAATCCTCTAAACCATAACAGGATCTTTACAGTTGGCTTAATACCACAATCAAAATGGAAGATTTCAGAGTTACTAGATTTTAGAACTTTTTCAACATGTACTACTTCATGTTTTCAGTGTTATTATTACATTTGATTTGATTGTTTAATGTGGGAAATGTAATTTTTTTAATTAGTTAAATTACAGGAAATATTTCTGATCAATTAATTGATGTTGACATTAACAAGGCTGATATCCACAAACTTACCAATGTTTAATAGTTGTACCCATTTTATTGTTTTATGCTTCAAGTGAAATGATTAGAAGTACCCTCCATGTTTCATTCACACGTGACATTAAGTTCCGCTCAAGTCATAGCAACAATGAAAATCTGCTTGGTTAATATCAGAGCACAATAAATTACTAAATCCAATTAGCTTATCATCATGCATCCATCCAGAGCAACCTAACTCTTCCCCCACTTCTGCTGCACCTAATTGTGTCAGAGACAGTTCCATGATTTTTACCTAAATCTTATGCTCAAAGTCTATTCCAAGCATTGATTAAATTCTCTAAACAACCTCCTACATGTCTCCTTCATTACTCAGCAATCTGAACTTGTCACAATATCCAAGGTGTGATCTGACCAAAGTAATGTACAATTTGAATACAGTAATATTCAAGAACATGTTTCCTACATATCTTCCTGTATACAATATTTTCATACTTTCATGCATTAGATTAGAAACTTAAGGTCACTCCAGAGCATCTTTTATTATGCTACAATTTTTTTCACCTTCTCCCAGTTTGTCAGTAGTGGCTCTCATATGACACTGGTTGCCATTAAAGTGCACATCATCAACAGATGGAGATGTTAATAGCAATGAATTAACAACTGCTTCCCATTAACAGTGGATTGTACAGTGTTTACTACTGGTGTACCTTGAAACTGCTGCAAAAAATAAATATTGAAACGTGGTACAAAAAGCATTCTGATGCCCTTTTTTTCTGATGTCATAAGATGGGTAATCAAAATATAACATTTGAAGAATGTCCTGATAAATACAGATATAACATCCTTATGGTAGAAATATACCACTAAACAGTCGACTGATTTTTCTAAGACTATTGAAACTTTCCAGCAGAAAACCTACTGTGAGATTTTACAACTGATTACAAAAAAGTATTTCCACACATGAATCAATCATTATGTCACAGCTTTCTGTGAATTATCATTTTTTGCACTGAATTTTGTGGTCACTAGCAAATGAATGCTTCTCAGCTTTCAAAGCACTTGTTCCTAGCCATAGACTTTTGATAGATTGTTGCACTGGAAGTTCCAGTCAGCCTGCCATCCTTAAGGTGCTCTGCCCTCTACAGGACACCTGGATTTGCATGAACGTAACAATCGTTCATAGATAACAAGGTGTAGAGCTGGATGAACACAGCAGGCCAAGCAGCATCAGAGGAGCAGGA